CAGCTTTTGCTTTACCTAGTGAACTGTCCTTATCCCCACACACGATTTTTTCACTTTTACCTTTTGATATTCTCCCTACCCCACCTGGGGGGGAAGTGGAGCAGCTGTGTGGGACTCAACCGTCTGCCAGGGTTAAACCACAGTACGTACGCAAAGGGATGCCATGCTGCACTCTTACATTCTCACATCTGAGAAGACATGAGTTTTTATAACCTACAGCTCAACAAAAGAGATTAGATAAATTAGTAATTATACAATCCATATGCTAGGGTTTGTTTGTCACCTAAATTTTTTAAATTTCAAGATATTGTTGGCACATGTATTTTAGTCTCTTTACTGCTGAATATAACAGAACAGCTGAGTTTGGAATGGACTTGTGGAGGCCATCTGGTCCAACCCGCCTGCACAAGCAAGGACACCCAGGACCATGTCCAGGTGGCTTCTGAAGATTGCCAAGGAGAGAGACTATACAACTTCTCTGGGCAACCCATGGCAGTGCTCCATCAACAGCATGGTAAAGAAGTGCTTTCTGATGTTCAGATAGAACCCTCTCATGTTCTTGTTCGTGCCCACTGCATCTTGTCTTGGCATCGGGCACCATTGAAGGGTGCCTGGCTCCCTCCTTTTTGTGCTTTCCCTTCAGGTATTTATAGACAAAGATGATGTCCCCCTGAGCCTTCTCTTCTCAAGGCTGAGCAATACCAGCCCTCAGTCATTTATCACAGGAGAGGTGCTCCAGCCCCTTCATCATCATCATGGCACTTTCACTGGGCCCTCTCCAGTATCTCCATGCTTCTCTTGCAGGGGTGAGGCCAGAGCTGGACACAGTACCCCAGGTGTGGCCTCAGCCGTGCTGAGTAGAGAAGGATAATCTGCCTTGACTTGCTGGAAATACTTTGCTTAATGTAGCCTACATCTGTGCTATAAGGGCACATTGCTGGCTCACATTTGTCTGGTCACAGAGACAAGGAGAGGACTACAAGTGCATTTCAGCAGGTAGTCCAGTTGGAACAGCTGGTAAACTAAACCAGTACAATATCAAATCTCATTTAAACTTTTTAAGTACCAGACTGAAATGCAAAGCATAGCAGCATGTAGATTCCAGCCATCTGGGGTCATGAGGAAAAGTGCAAAGCTAAAGCTAAATTAACTGCTAATAGCCCTTAAAATGGCAACAGAATGCTAAACTGGAGTTTCCCTAAAATAATATGAGTAATATTGGAACCTTGAAGTGGTAAGAAAACTGCTGAAGCTGTATCTGGTATAGCCAGGATTTGGGTAAAACACAGTGGAAATGACTCCTTGTTAAGGAGTTAAGGACTCTACGCTATGTGTGGAAATAACTCTTCAGTAAGCATCATCAGACCCTTTCAACTTTTCTCCTGTATGAGAAGGCTTTGCTTTTCAAACTCATTTATCACAACAACCTTGCCACATCTACTGAAGTAATTTGAGCATTTTCAGCACCAGTTGGAAGGAGCAGATGTAAACTGCTAATCTTCAGAGATCTTCCTTCTGATGAGAAACTATTTGCATTTGTTCAGCCACTGCAGCGGTTCATGCTTTTGAATCATTCTTGGCCAACTTAAGGGAAATCTAAAGTCTTTTAGCTAGACAAATTTGGCTCCATGTGGAGTCTATTTCTTAGAAGAGTACTTACAAAACTGTAACTGAATTGGATGCTGTCTCTGATTAGATGGAATCCTAAAACCAAAGTACGTGCTAGCTCAGGGCTTTAATTAATCTGTGCAAGTTTCTCATGTGTAATGCTTGCTACTCAACCTGCTTCTTGCGCAACCTTTTCATTAACAAAGTGTTTACCACACTGCTGCTTTCAGCATAACTGCATGTGGTCCAGACACATTTTTTGTTCCTTTGTTCCTCTTTTGTTTTAATTCCTGAGCTAGGCAATAGGATGTCAGATCTCCGTGGGATTTTCTAGCAAAATAACTGGAAATAGTAATCTTATGGGAAAAATAAAATAAAAAATAAAAATAAAATACTGTTGTAAAGAAGTAAAATTTGAAAGAGAAAGAAATGTACTCTTTCATGAATTTCTGATTACCTGAAATAAGCCATGTCTTTACCAACATTAAGGAAATTATATGAAAGGACAAAATGAAAATCTTCAATAAAAGAAAAATCGCATGTAGATTACTAACAGAGGAATTACTTGTGTTATAGGAGTCTGCTGAACTCAAGAGACACATGAAACTTAGATGTAAATATTGAGGATGCAATTATAATTTTACATTGAACATCTCCAAAGAGGGCTAAAGGTTAATTTCAGTGTGAGATTTCTTTGCAGACATGAAGTGGAGATGTGATCACAGTATAACTGTGAACAAATATACAATATACTCAGCAACACATATCAAAAAAGCCAAAATAGGACTGTGCTGAACTTCAAGACAGAGGTCCTCCCCATATAGCTTCACCATTTTCAAACAACTCCCTTTAGACCATGAAGTCAAAAATGTGATCGTGATAAACTTTTAAATGTCCAATTCCCTCGTGGCACTGTAAAGTCTTCACACCTGTTTTACGTTAAATCTTACAACAGTCCTTTCTCAGAGTCAGCCTTTGTAAGAGGAAGAAATATGGATTTTCATGCAAAGTAATAGAACATATCCCAAATAATCCATCTCTGTAACAAAAAGATCCCAAGTGATGATAAAGAACAGATACAGGCTATTGTCCCAGTATATCCACAGACAACAGTGAAGAAATGGGATGATAATTGCTAATAAGAAAAAATAAATTCCTCTTGTGTGCTTCATGATTTAAGTGAAAATCTGTACCCCACAAGGGAATAGGATAAGTTATGGACCTTTTCCCATATGCATGAACTTCACGTATGCAGAAGAACTGAACACCAGTATACTTGAAGACTTGTGCTGTTCTGCATGCACTGAAAAAGCATCAGTTATCTTTGCAATGAGTTCCCTCAGCCTCTGACAAAATTTCAAGTTCCTCAAGACCAAAGGAAACTGCCACCACTTTTGTAACTGAGGGTCAATACTGGCTGGACCACACTGTTTTTTACAGTGACATTGATATTTACAGCTCACCTGATATTTGAAGAGCATCTCATAAAATGTACCTTCCATATCTTCCAGCAGAGTTTTCTGGTGTGCTATCAGTCTTGCACTAGAGAACCCAAAGCAAGCCTCCCAAGTTTCATATAGGGAAAGAGTGGTAATGCAGCCTTCCAGGAGAGGCTGCAGCCTGGTACCTCACATCTGTTTCTCTACCACCAGTCCAAGTTCTGCCCCAGTACATGTAAGATTTTGTTTTTCTGAATGGCTTTTCTACTATGTTTAGCCTTGTTTTAAGCTACTCTACTCTTAAAATGTGGCTTTTAAAAAAAAATCTGCTCAGCAAATGAGCATACAAGATTTTATATTGTATTGATATCAAATGATTTTCTTTTGAAACATCCTGTTATCCTGTTTCAGACTAAACCATTTCTGCTCATCTCTGTCTCCCAAGATCAAAGTATAATACAGCTAACATTGTCCTCAAGCACTTAATTCAGTTTATTTCTGTTTCAGGAAGCATTGGAACCACAGCCTGTAACTTCTTACTCTACTCCATAGATGTCTTCCATTTCAATGGCTTCATTAGAAGACAGCAACTGAAGACAAATCTTTAATTCAGTGGTGTATGCTGCACTCAAAACCACGTGACTTAGCAGCATTTAACTGAAATGATAACAAGGTCAAGATAACTCAACTTTAAGCAGTCTTTGCTCCTTGATATAAAATCCAAGCAGAAGAAGCACCGTGTTGTCTTTACAAATTAGCATAAATTAGGGATAGGGAGGGCCTAAAACTGAAGAGGGTATTAGGCAATGGGCCACTGAAGTGCAATTATTTAATGTGACTTTAATTATTTTAAGCAAATTACATTTCACAGAGTAGCTTGGGTTGAAAGGGATCTTGAAGATTGTCTCATTCCAACTCCCCCCTGCTGTAGGCAGGGATGCCACCCACTGGATCAGGTTGCCCAAAGCCCCATCCAACCTGGCTGTGAACAACACCAGGGACTTCCTGGGACATTCACATCTTCTCTGAGCAACCTGTTTCAGTGCCTCACCACCCTCTGAGTGACAAATTTCCTCTTAATAATCCAAATCTCCCCTTTTAGTTTAAGACCATTGCCCCTTGTCCTAACATTATCTAGCTGAGCTCTTCTCCATCTTACCCCTTTAAGTATTGAACACATTTTTTCACATCTGAAGTTAAGGCCAGATTGGCAACAACTGTATATCTGTGGATGCTGATGAGACAGAGCCAATTAAAACCAGATTAAGATCTTGCCATGTTCAAGTTTATACCAGCTGCCACTGCAATGGGAAGTTTGAGAGCTGAATTCAAGTAAGGTGTTTTGTTTTGTTTTTTTCCTTTAGTGACACAGTGTAATAACTTGAAGATTATCCACACAGAGCGATTGCCTAAAAACTATACCAAGGACAGTTAAAAAAATGTCCCATTGTCCTTTCTACAAAACAGGTATTAAGCATTTGCTTGTTCTTGAAGAAGACAATGTACTGTTTTGGCTGGAAAAATCCCTAAATAAATCAGAATAATTTCTGTCCCCAGAGAGTACAGCATTTCTAACTTGAACTCAGCTGTTTTTCAATAGGAAGGCACATGCCATTCAGCCAATAGAAGGGCACACATCATTCAGCCAAAAGCACACAGAATAATGTCCTTCAATGTCCAGGTAGGTGACACCAGGAGCTCTTTACCACTCTTCTTGAAAAATTACTTTTCACAAACCTGCATCCAGCTGTCATTGGAGACTCTTAAATTTGTCCAAGTACCTGCACTGGTACTTTGGAGAAAAATGGAGTAAGTGTACTTGTATAAATGGTAAAATAGAATACCATCTTACTCTGGCTGTATATCTCCATCTAGCTATACGAGTTTTGCTTAAAACAAGCCAAACCAAAAGAAAAACAAGCAAACAAACAAACAAACAACTTAACTCCTATCTAGGCAAGAAGTCATTTATTGCCTGAATTTTTCACAGTGATTTCTATCTTACACAGTGAGGAGGAAGATGCATGAGGAAAAATGAAGTTTTGAAAAATTAGCAGTAATTTTCATCACAGAAATTGATTAAAGCATTAAGCTGCCTTGTGATGCATTTCCCCTTCAGGACATTCCAGTAACGACTTAACAGGAATACTTCAGGGGCCTAACTTGTGTTTCTGTCACCAGTATTCCCTTACAGCATCTCGACTTGCCTGTAGAATACAAGTTGAAAAGAGCCAGTCTTCTGGCAGCCATTAATTCCACAAAAGTGAGTATAACATAACATTTTTTAATTCAAAGCTGCAATTAACGTTCAGGATGTTGAACCTATGGCATCAGAGGACATCAGATTAGAGTTATTAATACAAACTCTGCCACAAAACTTTGATAGGCAAACAGTAATCTTGGGGAAAAGCCATTCCCTCCGTGTTCCATGGCACCCTGTGAGCTTCATTTATGCAGGAAACAAGACTCGTTTAACAGACATACGAACCACCTTCTTTCTCTAGCTTCTTTGTACAGCTCTTTTGCTTGCACTGTGAAATTGCATGATGTTAATCAACAGCATTCAGCACAACACGTGGGCTGAATGTGTTAAGTTTTAGCTAGTAAAAATATCTAGCCGACAAAATGTGAGGCAGGACAGTCTCTGCCTCTCAACTCTGCCTCTGAGTCACTCTCAACAACTGTTTTAATGAAAGATGGGAGAGAAAAACTTGGTGGCTTTGCTTTTTCTTCTCTCCCCCCCTCCCCAGGATTTTCACTTTTAGTTCACACAAAATAAAGTACTATTGTTCAGCTGATCACAGCATTTTACAGGGCTAGAACACTTGTTTTACAGGTTTATTGTTTAAACAGTTCAGAATTAAAATGTTTTGACTCTTCAAATCCTTCTTTTGAGACCAGGTCACTAACAGCAGAGGAAACTATCTGCAGATTTGTGCAATGCCTCAGTCTTGCATTGTTCTGGTAAATCTAAAGCTGCCTTCTTTGGAAGGCATTCATTTGAAAACCTTTATCTGTATTTAGTTCTTTCCAGGATAATAAAAATACGAGTATCTGGTTCAATGGTCTAGAGCTACTTTTAATTTCTAAAATACCAATTTTCATTTTTACCCTACCTTTCACAATTATTATTATTATTTTTTAATTATCACAGAGTATTTCATATTGGACTGAATCTGTCAAAGTTGCTAACAGCAAACTTAGCCAAAAAATTTCAAAATTAAGACTCTATTACAAATACTTGCCAAACTCTCCAACCATCACAAGTACTCCTCAGTAGGGTATAGTCTTTGGCTGAAGCTATTTCAGCAATCTGAATGAAATATTTCTTTAACTCTGCAGGAAAGCTTTAAAGTGGCTCAAATTCTTAGCTGTCTTTAATTCACAGGAAGAAACCACACATTTTAAAAATGTTTATTCACATACCTCTTTCAAAGATATACATCTTTTCCCTCATTCCTTCAAAAACACTCAAGCTTTGAGGTAATTTAGGACAAATATAAGAACACTTAAAAAATAAAAGCAAGAGATCAGTAAAAAAAAATGTAGGCAGGATAAATAGAAAAATATTCAGCCTTCTTTTCACTATGAATTGCTTCAACAGAATGCATTTCAAAAGCAAAATAATCAAGTCACTAAGTCCAAAATTAAGTGTATTTCTGAAGCAAAACTGACTTAAGCAATTATTTCACCTGAGTTTATATTTCAGGGATTGGGCCCACAGCAGTAGAGAAGAAAAAGCATCCAGGGACAGATCCAGATCCTACTACCCCTTACACTGAGAGAGATGAATAGGAAATTTAAAAAAAAAAAAAAAAAAAAAAAAAACCAACAAGCAACAACAACAAAACACTCCTAGGCTCAAGCCTCCAAAACCTTATGTTGTTGTATCGGCTCCACATGGAGCTCTATAGCAGCATCTGCATTCACGCCTGTCAGCTAGTACTGACGCTGCCAGTATTATCTTGCTGCACAATGGAACCTATACCCAGGGGTACTTTGGGGAATGTTAGCAATGGTGTCCTGCTGTCCCAGAGGGACCTTTCAAATTTGAGGATTGTATTCCAGAGATGCAAGGCACTTGCTGGGAAGGCCTGAGATGAAAACTGTGAGTTCAAAAGACTGTCCCCTCTGCCCATTCAAGAGATAAGAAAGGAAAGGCTAAGCCACGCATCCCCTGTCAGATAATCCCAAAGGAACTCTGACTTATAATGTGGCATCTTCTGATACACATGAAGATTGCTCCCTTGGAAAGCTATATAGGAAGACTGCAATACTTTAAGTAAGATAATTTTACAGTTTTAGAGATACACTTTGGAAATAGCATAGGTTACAGTTCTTCAGGCTGAATGAAAAAAGCTAATCGGAGTCTTCATCATCGAGGTATTCCTCCGCATTACTTAATGTTCGGACTGTACCTGGAAAAAAAGCAAAAAAGATCTCTTTTAGCCTGGGATAAAAATCAGACAAAGCCTCAAAAAAAAAAAAAGATTTGCAACGCTTGTAAATCAGTTTCTGAGAAAACTGATTTCTGTATCATTCTGGGATGCTAGCACTACACAGATGCTGGGGCTGAAGATCTGGATTGCAAAGGTAGGGCTAAGCCAGTCACATCTCGTATCTATGTAATGTAATCTGTCCTCAGTGACCCTCAGGAGCCACCTCCTGGCTTGTTAGGAGCTGTACAGCAGAGATGGAACACTCTAGTTGTATTTTCTGTATATCTTAACTTCAAATCAAAAAGGAAAGGAGGGCTGCACTGGCAGAAGAGTCTATGTAATTTTCTTCCAAGTGCTTAGATGGCTACAATTCTCCACTTAAAATCGAACACACTCCATCATTGTCTTCTCTTTCCTCACCTACATTTTTTCCTAAGCAAGCATTTCTTAGATCTAATTACTTTATGAGCTTATGCTTTTGAAAAAATGGTAAGCGGAACACAGGAGTACTGAAGTGCAGTAGTACCTGGAGAACTACATCTATCTTTGGGACTAAACAAAGATAAACTGCAAAGGCTTTCTGTAATAAATAATTATTTTCCAGCAGATTTTCAAATATACAGTAACATATATTGTATATAATGTATAATATTCTGTACTATTGGGAGCAAAGAATCATAAGATCCTAGTCATAATTTTGCGATAATATATTTCATTATTAATATCAAGTGCAGACTTATGTAACGCACAGAAATGATCACCATGCTATACTAGACTTCTAGAATAAAAACGAGTAAATTTAAACTGACCTGCTGTATCATTTTGATAAAAGAAATATATGAAAGTTTTTTCTCTTTAGTAGGAAAAGAAAAGGAAGGAAAGAAACAAGAAACAGTGGAGCTCTGTGCTCAAGGGACCATGCTTTAGGAAAGGACAGATTCTATTTTCTCAAAAGCAAAAGCGACACAATCTTTTTGCATTCGTATGGCACAATTTTAATAACTCTCATTTCTTAGAATATACTTCAATAGTTGTGACGTGTACACACATGAATCTGTGTGTAAAAATGTAAAGCAAAATTGGACATTTAACTTGTGGAAGTTAAATGTAAGTAACCTTCCTTGGAGAAAACAAAATGTTTTATAGATAGACTGTGATATAAGCCATATTTGGTCCATATAAGTAGGAACAAATTTGAAAATGGGGACAGGAAGACCACTGAAATAGGACTGAGCTTCTGAAAAAGAAACATATTTTAACTGAGAGATACTTGAAATACTGAAATGTAGAATCCAGTCATAGAAAAAAAGGAATGAATACAAATGACCAAGAAAATAGAGCAAACAAGAACAGACTAGCAGTATCACATAGGTTATAAATGACCAAATTTACAGAGGAAAAACAAGCAAGGAAGCTAATATTGAACCTGCAGTTAAAAAACTAACATCGGCTCTCATATCAAGACAAACAAGAAAACTGTGTGAGAGTATCAGAGCCTGGCAACAGATGAAGTGACTAAGGATGAAAAATTAGTCAGCTGTGAAACAAAATAATTTAGGAGTGAAGCAAATGCACCAAAAGTAGGTAAAGTTTCTAGAGCCACAAAATGAAATATTAATATAATTATCTGGGACATTAGAACAGAAGATAGTCCCATATGAGGTGTCTAGACAAGACAGGAAAAAAATAAGTCGTTCTAACAGGGATTAGATAACATTAGAAAAAAAAAACAACACATATTGAAACAGAAGAAAGTCTGCCCCTGGTTACAACTGTTTTCTTCAGAGCCAAAATTGAGAGAAATAGTTTGTCAACATTTTCTAGGAAATCTGGGTATTACCTCTATGAAAAAGCTGATCAGTATTTTTGCTGCAACTGATCATCATTCTTCAAAGCTACTGTCAGATGTTCCATCATTTAACTCCCACAACTGCGTATTACCCACAAATAATTCCTTCTGTTCCCATGTTTTCCATGCTAGTCCTTCAACAGTACAGTTGCTAGACTGCATCCCCACTGATACAAGTTGTCACTGTCTGTGTCGTTAAGACATTTCTCATCTTACATGTATGTGTAATTCACTTAGGGTTTCCACACAAATTTCAGCAACCTGAAAGTCACAGGTGATGTTGCTTATGTGACGCTGAACAATTCAGTATTTGTTCACTTTTTTAAAATGTCCTTTTTACCTCCCAGAAGCTTTTGTACACAGACATTGGGCTGTTAGGAAAGATGAACACAAGTGCACGGCAGAGAGACTATTTTGATAAATACCTGAAAGCATTCTTTCTTTATTCCTCCATTGAACATCACTTAGAGAGACATAGGAGTAAAAAGTTGTAAAAGGAGCAAGACAAAAACAAACAAACAAAAAAAAACAAACAAACAGAAAAAAAGAGGAGCTTCTGCAGATATTGATTTAGTTTAGAAGAACAGAGAAAACACGCCATACTGCTTTATTCTCACACCCTGTTCCTTGTAGTATACTGCTCCTAAAGGAAGTTTCCATCCTTGCTTTTGTTCTGAATAGCCCTTACTGTTTCCACAAATTCCTTTGCCTCTTGCTAAGTAGGATGGCATTTTGTGTGGAGTCAACTACACTGGATGTGATGAACCACAGGCCTATCACACCTCTGCTGAACTACCTCATTCAAACAAACCCTTCCAAAGAACACTCTTAGCCCATCTAGCTCCAGAGTGATTATGACTAACAACATATTGATACTCGGCTGAAATAGCGTGTTCTCCAAAGAGGAAAAAATTATCTGAAGAACAAAATTATAAATACCTGCACTCTGTTTCTTCTTAAGCAGTGAAGCACAAGCTGCATTGGTTGCCATGTCTAAAGCCAGTTTCTTCTCGTTGTTCTTCAGATCTGTTCTTGCCCCTTTATAACACAAAATTTCCACTATTAATCACTGTCCCAGGTATGCCTTGAGCAATGGCATTAAGTAAGATATGAGTTTCAGTAGCACGGGTAAAACAGCTTAGAATAATGGACAAGGAAATCTTATCTATGGACTGATCTGAAGTAGACTAAAAGATATGGACGAGCTTCCAAAAGCTACAGCTGGCTAGGGAAATTGCTGTCTGCTCTCCCTTTCCAAGAAGGAAACGGAACTGCTGTTCTGGGGTTAAGTGCCTAATTTTGTCCACATAGCAGGATGAAATTTAATTTAAGCAGGTGAGGTGTCTACTTTCTAAACAGCTGCCAGAATTTTCTGTAAGGCATATAAAGTCATGGCAGGTAAGCTGGCTAGAGATTGTACCTGGGTTATAGGAAAAAAGTTTAAATATACACATTAATAAAAATTCAGGAAGCTCGTCTGCCACACAGGTTGTTGAAATCTTGGTGAAGATCTTTACCCTTTGCCAGCAGCATCTCTACAATATCTGCATAACCTTTCCATGCAGCAGCATGCAAAGCTGTGTCTCCCAATTTGTTCTGTGGAGTTAGAGGGAAAAGCAACAGGATTAAAATACAGAAAAAAAACCTTTCAGCCTGTACCAAGGACAAATAAAATCAGATCCGTAGTGTAAGTGTCCTCCTACCTGTTGGTTTAGCTCTAGGTTTGCTTGGGTAAACAGAACATCCACTATATCTGCAAAGAACAGGAAAAAAAGAGTTTACTGGAAACAAAATAGTCTTATTTACAGTCATAGTACAGATTTTAGTTAAGATGCAAGGAAAGAGAGATCCAATCAGCTAATGAAAATCTCTAACAGCCAGAACATGTTCAGGAAACAACCAGTCACCAGTCACTACAACAAAATAAGCAACACTTTTTTTGTCTGTCCTTCTTCCTGCTCCACTTCTACCAGTTACGGTGATTAGAACGCCCACTTCAACAGCAACAACAAAACACATAGCGTTTGACAGACCTGAACTTCCCTTATAGCTTTAACTTCTCTTAAAAAAAAATAAAAAATATATATATATATGTATATATATATATATAAAATCCTTGCTTTATTATTTAGCAATCTATCTAACAAGCAAATCAAGAAAATCAGAGGACAGTTATCTCCAATGAATTCTCCCATACCTTTGTGGCCTCCGTGGCATGCCCAGTACAGAGCTGTGTTTCCAGCTTTGTCTAAGCCATTGACCCCAACTCGGTTATCCAAACATTCTCTCAACCAGCTTAGATTGCCTGAAAAACAATTCTGTTTTACTGATTTGTTTTTTCTTTTAAAAGCTAATAGAAACATTACTTGGTTCTTTATGAAAACTGCCAGTCCTGCCATGAACATACAAGGAGAAAAAGTTATTATCAGAAACAACTATAATTTGTAAAACAACCTGTCCAACTCACAGCAAACATCTCTTCCTCCTTCTCAGGAGACCTTCAGGTCCCTACACAGCTAAATGGATGACACCAACTTTTTCTGCTGTGTATACAATCATGTCACAGAGAGTGGCAATTTTCGCAGACTGTAAACCAGCTTCTGAAAGCTGCAGAACTTCAGCAAATAACTATCTTGACAGTTCAAGATATCAGATAAACAAAACAGACAGGGTAACTTCATTCTAAATACATTATTTTAACACAAAACAGTCTTTTAGCATTACACAACTAAAATCCAAGTCACACTTACCTCGCTTGGCAGCTTCATGCAATGGATTATCAATAGATTCAGCTTGCTCAGCCACTGAAATGAAACAAACAGTACATTCTAACTACATCTGAAACTGAAGAGATACTTGATTTCTGTACAGAAATAAAACTTGCTATTTGTTCTACAGGAGACAGTAATACATATTTGATTAACATATGAAAGGGGACTTGTGCCTGATGGACTAGTCGATACACTTCAGTTTCTTATGTATGGTAAAGCAATTCAGAAAAGCGCTTGTAAAAACTTCAAAGCACAGCACTGAATTGATCAGAGGTTGCAAGGCATTAGGTATCTGGTAATATCTTATCTCTGTTGTTACTTGCCTTTCCACAATTGGAATGTTCCTAAGTAACTGCATGTGACTAGGCTTTCAACCTACAGCTTACCTTCTGTAGTTATAAGTGAATTATTTCCAAGGGGTCTCTGAAAGATAGCTAAGAAAACCCACTGTCAACAGGCTTACAACTTATTTAACAGAGGTTTTTATTTTCCCTGGAAAACTTACAGGAGATCTGCAAATCATAACTGCAGAAGCAATGAATATAGCAGTAAGCAGATTCAAATTGAGGCTTCTGTAGGTCTTTGCTTCATCTCACAAGCTTTAGGTTTTACTAGAGAAGAGAAGCCAACAAGTTCCTGGTCACTGTGCTGTTGCAACAGAAAAAAGAAACTGAACAGCACTGTGGAACAGCTGAAAGTGCAGCTGTGATTTGGCAACTCCTTTTTTTTTTTTTTTAGTAGTTTTTAGGTGAAAAAGCTTGTGACTACTATGCAAACAGATAAATACAATATGATACGAGTAGACTCCCTATGTCCTTGCTCTACAGCTTGTTACCCTAGGCAGGGAGAATATAAGAGTATGTTTCTCAGATCAAACTGCTACTACAATCAGATGCAATACAGGCAAATATATTTCAATTATCAGAAACAGAAGTCTGAAGATTGTCATAACGTATTCTTATTTCATGTTTCTCTAACTGTGAATAAAATAGAACTGCTAGATTCCAGTACTTCACGTTCCAAAAGTTTGTGCCAGCAGTGAACAGAATCCCAAAGTAGAGCAGAAGTGGACAGCCATCACATAAGCAGAATGCCCTACTGATATTTAGTAGTGCTTGTAATGCACAGCAGAAAGCATTAACTTTCATAAAGCATAACACTCTCTCAGAAACCTAAAAATAATTTTGTCCTTATAAAACTGTCAGAAGTTCAGTAATAAGTATTTTTAATGCAGATAACACTTGATTCTAGCTTCATCAGCTTTTCTATTCAGACATGTTCCTTCAAGCCCAGCAAGTGGAGTACAAGACCCCACCAGAGCCTCAGCAGTTTCACGTCTGTCTCCACCTTCCTCAGAAAGGTTGCTGAAGCACATGAGGAGATATCACTGTTTCAGTAGTTAAGACTAAACCGAGGCAGACCTAACCGTGATGACCCGCGGAAGCAAATTTATGAAGATTTTGTATGTCTAAATTGGAAAACATGTTCCTAACACTCTTCATTCTTAGGTTCTACATAGGTTTCTGTTCTGCTTACACATGAAATTCTGCAAAAGCATGCGCACAGACATATCCTTCTGGCCTAAAATCAGAGCAGTTGAGGTTGGAAGGGTCCTCTGAAAGGCATCTAGTCCCGTGCCCCTACTCAGGTAAAGCCACCCAGAGCAGGTTTCCCAGGACCACGTCCAGACAGCTTTTGAAGACTGCCAAGGAAGAAGATCACACCACTTCTTCATAGGAGAGGTGCTCCAGTCCCTTCATCTTTATGGCCCTTCACTGTATTCGCTCCAGTAACTCCATGTCCCTTTTGTACAGGGGAGCTGAGAACTACATACAGTAAGTACTCCAGGTACAGACTCACCAGTGCTGATGAAAGCTAAATGCTGCTTGGATAATTTTTGCAGTGAAAGACTGGAAGCAAGTTCTCCAAATTGATAGTTGCTGCTTTTATTTTAAATACAGCACACTTCAATGTCCAAAAGAAATTTGAGTGCAGTTAAGCACCTTTAAACTACTCTTGTATATAACAGCAATCATCTCTGGCAGGAATAGTCGTTCTAGAAGTCACAAAGTTTTTCTGCAAGTGAAATTGTACACTATGGTCTCAATAACTGCACTGTCGTCCTCTACTCATATAATTCTACTAAGTACAGTTCAGGGTGGGGAACCAGATAGCATTGCTACCATGTCTCCTGGTGAAGAAGGGACAACACAGAGCAACCACACAGTTACCAAAATACTAACAGTTCTGATGCAACCTGTCACGTGACTCTGCTACTCTGCCTACATTTCCTGGGTGGACTTGGAAGAATTGTGCTGTGATTACCGTACTCATGGCTTTTCAAAATGATTTTAGTTGAATGTGAAAAAGCAATTTCTATTCTGTCAAAACAGGTATGTTTAATGTTGGTGCAATCAAGAAAACATTTCCTTCTGTGGCTGAATAGGTTCATTAAAAACCAACAAATGTCAAACAAAACAGCCCTATTTCTTCAGCAGGGTAAAAAAAAAAAGACAAAAAAGCAACAAAGGATATCTACAGAACTGCTCATCTGCTTTAGACTCCTGTCCACATACAGTATTTACTTAACATTTCAAATATTGATAATCTATCTGTCTAAGAAGCCACCCAGAAGCTCTGCCAGCTTCTCAAGCTCCAAGTTATGAAAGGACTTGTGTCCATCATTAGACTTATTAAAAAAAAACAACAAAAAAAAACACCTCAAACCAAAAGCAATATACAAATGGAAAGAATACATCTAAGACACTGCTACTAAGATCTTAAAAGTTGGAATACATTCACTAAGGATATCAAAAATGTAAGCCCATGAGTTGCGTGCATCCTGTAGAATCCTCCCTTACATCCATGTGTTCTTCCTCTTAAAACTAAGAACATCTCCTGCTGTTACATGCACACTTAGAAACAAATACTTGGCAAACTCACAGCCTGTACACTGCTGATGAATAGTGATATTCATAGTGTAAGTGATATTGCAGAAGTATTCCAAAATACCCTGGTAGAGTACTGTTAAATGCCAATATTGTTAACAGTGTCTGAAAGAAGGTGTATCAGTAATTTTCATTTGGCCATTTCCTTTGATTGTGAATGATCTTACCAAATGAAATTATTCTAGACATTACCATAGTTGCTTGGAATTAGTCCAGTTCTCCCTTTGCAAGTTCCTTTCCACCAGTTTGTATCACTCTGAAGAGAAAGGAGAAAAGAGTTTATAAGGGATATACTGCATCTCGGAAGTATATAGTCTGTATGGGATGTGTCAGACTCACCATGTCTGAGATGTAAATGATATCTCCTTCTTCAAAGTACAGTTCATCTGGCTTAAAAAATAATTAAAATAAAAGTAAGGGTAAACAGAAATCTGGGTGTATATAATTAAGTAAAATAAATACCTGTAAAAAGCAGCGTCTATTCAGTGTTTCTTTCAAAATGACAACAGTTCTAATTCTGTAGGTACTAGACAACTGCCTGACAGTCTGATACTGTAGTTTGACTTGCCTGAAGCTAACTTTTTGGATCTGTCATCTTCCTGACTGCTAAAGAAAGACTGTGGTCTTTCCAACTGAACACTGTGCAACAAAAGCAGTGAAATATATCGTTTGTTAACTTCTTCCCCTTTCTTGGCTGGTCACAGTTCATCAGCTCTCTCAGTTCTCTCTCAATTATCCTTGTTGCCTTTGGAAGAAAAGAAAAGTCATGTTTAAGAACCAGTACCCATGAACACACTTTTTCAATGAAAAAGTAGTACAGCAAGTCTGATAGTCCAATCCTAGCAGAACTAAAGAAATGTTATTATAGAAAAGTTTTAAAAGAAGCCCCTCCAAATCCCAAAATCTGGACATACTTACTGTTCTGGGTTCAAACGTATACAGGGCTCTGAACACTTTAACCTGCCCTAAAAAAATATAAAAAAATAAAAATTATTAATACCATGCTTTCTAAACACTGCATACACATACAGCCCCCAAATCCAAGTAAATTCCTTTCCTTAACCCTTAAAACTGCTTGCTGAATGAGTTTGTGGTACGAATTTTTATCAATGAAAGTGATGATGAAAACACTGAACCAAGCAGCATGATTCTGAAGGAAATGGGTCAACTGACCAGTCCTACACACCTAACAGTCTTCATGGCTAACCATGTAAATCAACTTAAGTATTGTCACTGGTTTCTGAGATAAAGTGCAGTTTCAACCATTTACTCACCCATATTTTTATTTTTAAATAATGTCAAATTCTACAGAATTAAGGAAGGAATAAAGAAACAAAGCAATGACTGATGTCTGTCCTATGCTCTCATACTTGCAGTCATTATTAATCAAAAAAATAACACAATGGCACAGAAATCATTGAAGGACTTGAAGAAAAATGATCATGGTCAGCAAGTCCTATTTATGTAATGCACAACTTATAAGGTATTCTGCTTACATGCTTAAAATAACCTAGTGTTTATAATTCCACTGAGTAAGCAATGTTTATTTTAATAGGGCAGTTTTAAGAGACTCTTATAGCAGCATCCAGGCCCGGAAAACAGAACTTTAGCACAGAGGCAGAAATTTTACTGCATTAACTGCAAGAGAAGCATTCCTATAAACATTTAAAAATATTCAATCTAGGTGTATTTCGAGCATACAAAGCAAAAGGTATAAGATGGGTTCATGAGAAGAAACATGTACATTCTATAATTTTATTAATTGAACTGCTGAAATATACTGAGCTGGATGGAAAAATATACAGACTTTTGTTTGCTTTTAAATATCACAACTATGTAAGTAAGCCACACTGTACTGCAGGTTCTTAAATTATATTTCACATGTTATGCAGACTAACTTATAATCAAAGCAGTTCTTTGGTTCATTAAGACAATGCACTACTTAGAAAAGGCTATTTATATGTTCTGTCACTGATGAATTTACTGCCAAAGATTCACACTGTACAACAAAGTGTGGTTACACAGACTCTTGCACAGTATGTTAAGGTGTAAATTATGTGGAAAGAATTGAGCAACAAGAGAGTAAGTTTCCCTACCTCTTAAGAATAACCCCTTATCCTTCTCTAAAGAAGAGGAGGCAAAAAATGTCTCGAGATACTTTCTTAATAGAGGTACTTTTTCTTACCGCAAGTAGCCTACTGACGGGAGTTTTAGAGTTTAAGCATTTTACAGGGCTAACTTAAGGGCTTTAGAAATCTCAGTCTAAATATATATATATGCTGACAGGCTTGAGAAAGAGGGATGGTACTAAACTGTATAAGCTGCCATATTGATCAGTCTGCCACTTTGATCCATATCCTGAAGTCTTGGAGTAGCTCTTGAAAGACATCTTCAAATACCTCTAGATGTTCTCGGGCAAGAGCCATAGCACAGTCTATGTTTATATAGGGACATCTATCAATGCATAACTGCTACACAAAACATTTATCTAGTACACTCTCTTAAGCTTTTTTTGTGTCAAAGTACATGTAATGATATATCCATAAAATCGAACTGTTAACTTTCTTAATTACCAAACGCATGCAGACACTGAAAATACTATTTTTCTTCCAGTTTGTAGCAATATCCCATGCTTCTCCCAGACATTTTTTTTTCTCCTTGAGTAATACCATTAGAATTCTCTCTCACACAGCAGCCATTACTTAGACATAACGAGTTCAACACTTTACAGACCCACACTCCAGAAAGTAAATACCTGTACTGTGGCAGCAGCTAAAAGGAATGAAACCCCTATTCATTACGTGGATTGAAATGATGAAAAAAACAAGCAAACAATAATGTGTCATAGATGCAAGAGCTTAAGAATTAAGTGTCCAAACTGTGACTAGTAGTCAATAAAAAAAAAAAAAAACATATGGAGAAAGAACAAGGGATGACAAACCAGGATGGGTAACATAAAGGGGTGGGTGGTACAGAGTACTGTTCCTTATCTCAGACTTTTTCTTGAGTAGATGACAGTAAAATGCACAAAAGGACTGCACGCTATATACTTTGATGACTTTAAGCACCAAACACTACTTTTCAAGGTTCTACTTAAGTAAAAGGAGAAACTGGAGACCAAAAGGGAAGAATAACAAATAATAAAGCAGAAATGATAAGATGGCAGAAGATAGAGAAAAGCAAGAAATATAGATCTTTGTACAGCATGCATTTCCAGTAATAATGTACTACACGCATACCCAGAGTTTAACAGTTTTCTAAAACTGGGGAAGTTTTAGAAAATGTAAATACTGAAGCTGATAAAAGCACTGTTGAAATGTTTTTTAAACTAAAGGTGATTTGTTTTCTGTTTATGTTTTATTCTATACAATAGAAATACAGAGTTACCTCCCCAAATGTTTACTCATGGCTGCACAGCACATTCCTGAACATTTCCCTCTGATGAAGTACAGATCTGCATCTACAAAACAGTAAGTCTGGTAAACTTTAGTTTTACAGTACTTCATATGGAGTTAAACACTACTTACTACTGGCGTTTTCAAATTATCTTTTAAGTATTTATTGATAAACAGATGTTAAGCCTGTTTACATTGCTGCATTTAAGAGCAAATAACAATATGATTTTAGCACTTCACAGGGTTTGTTTTTTTTTTTTTTCTGGGAGAAAAAAAAATAATTAAATCTCATAAATTAATGAGGTTTAAAACAACAAAACATAGGGACTCAAGAGGCATATTAAACTAGTGCCCCCATTCTGGAAATATCAATAACCTGTTTTTTACTAGGCACATGGGTAGCCGCAATCACTTGAATACAAGGACTTTTATCTAGCAATGCACATCCCTAGGCTTGCATACAAAATTACATCTTTTCCTGGCTGGTGTCCTCTGGAATAAGCACAAAATTAGAATGTGCCTGAGGACCTGCTGTGCTCCTCTTTACTACTCTCCTTTCACTAACCACTTTGTAAGATTCCGGTAGGATGGAGAAGATGGTTATTAGCACTGATTTAGATTTGCTTAAGTAGACTGGCTGCACCTCCTGAACGGGTATTTCTAGAACAAAATAACCAAAATACAAAAGACACATCTGCTTTCTTATTTTATTTTATTTTTGAGGTTTCAAGGTATCAGGCTAAGATTAACAACTTTGTTATCAGCATAACTAACAAAGGCAGTATCACTTCTGAAAATAAAAAATAGAAGCACAGTGCAGAGATATCTCACAGTAACTGCAGGGACAAATCTGAACAGTCCTTTTCAGTTCCGTACGTCAGCCACAAGTTTGCCTTTTCCCTTTTCACAGGATTTTTATTAAACATCTGCAATACAACTATCTGACAAAAAAGGATAGTTTATTACACATACTACACAGTCAAGTGAACTCAGCATACAAAACACCCACGTCATAATTTAACAAACCCTCACCCAGCAGCAGGACAAGGTGAGTCAACCTAAATTCCTCTGAATTCTTTCTGATAATTTCTCCTACAGAATGCTTTTATCAAGAAAGGGAACAGGCAACTCAGATTCCTCTTAACAGTTGAGTAACAAATAACACTCATGAAAGGAAAGAAACTGCGGTACTAAACAGTAACAGCAGTTTAAAAATGCAGCTTCTGATACATACTGAACTACACAAGACCTCTACTGGGTTTTCCAATACAAAGTTTAAAAAAAAAAAAAAGATTTTTTTTTTTCAAAGGACTAGAAACTTTGTTTCCTAACAATTTTGATTTTAATTGAAGTATCATTAATAGAAGGTTGTTTTCAAAGAAGTGCTAAGTGTTTTTGCAACAAATTTAGTTGCAACAGATTTAGTTTCTCTCAGTAATGTTCCTCCCCCCCACTTCCCTTCTGTCCTTTTACACCAGCTTCTCAATGCCGTCACAGACACCAGCATTAAAATTCCACTCAACTTGCACCTAAAGCATTTTCTGCTTTCCTCTTATTTGCTTTCACCTGTGAAAGAAAGAAAAGAGACTGATTCTTGCATAGCATTATTTATTTAGCCATCTCAGTGAGGCCGAACTTCTAGCACTAAAGGGGAGGGAAAACAACTTTGTTAGTCAATTTGTATTAATTATTCAGCAAAAACAAACAAACAAACAAAACTAACAATAACAAAAAACACACAGCACGACACCTTCCTGGATGTGAGAGCCATTTATTTTAGTTAAAATAATCATGATTATAAGCCAATCAAGGCTTGGCTCCAGTGAACCAATACAGGTCTTTTGCTAGAATTTTACATCCCGGTTCTCCTGCCAGAGACAGACACAATCAAATTTCACTGACTGATCCAAACAACATTTTACAAATCAGATATTGGTCACGATGGAGCATCTTTTCATCGACTACATTTAGAGTGAGTAGCACTAGACTACCATAAAAATCAGAGTAATTAACTTTCTTTAGATAAAGACTCCCTGGGTATCACAGCGCACTGTTACAGTGCCTGTAACAGAGGGAATGGTATACTCTCCACACTGCGGACCCTGGTCTTCTACACACAAATTAGAAAACTTCAAGTCCATCAACTTCCATAAGAGTTCAAACTAATTCTTGGCTAACTGTCACCAGCCATTAGGCAGGGACCATCCTCCCTCTGGACTATCCTCCAAGGCTGCACAGACAAAGCTGAGAACAAGGGAGAGTCTAGCAGAAATTTGATTAACAACAACTAATTTCAATCCCCACCTGTAACAATTTGACCAAAAAGAGAAAGTATGAATAAGCTCCAGGGTAGGGAGAAAAAGGACAGGTTCAAGGGCCTATCCAAGTTTCAGAGTCTCCTCCCAGAACACAAATTGTGCTTTTTGATGCACATTCAGATGATTTTCTCTGAAGCATGCAAAACATCTTCTGCCTCACAGATGATGTGCTGTCACAAACAGTTGGTGCTTTCTCAGTGTTGATTTAGGACCCTAAAAAGGAATTACACAGCCTGGCAACAGGAGCAATTGGAAGCCACAATGCTTTTTGTAAGAGCTGGCATTATGGGAAAACCATAGATCAGGATCATTTGTGATATGCTTGCACTTCACTTTACCAAGGAAAGTAATGCTTGTGTTATGATAATGCATGTGTCTTTGGAAGCATGCTGTTTTCTTAGAAGGACATTAAAGGCAGATGGAAACTTTCCTCCCCTGACTTTTCAGGAACAGGAAAATAAGGTGCTGTTACACTCAGACGTTCAAGAAGGATTAAAGAGTGCGAATATGTTTTACAGGACTGCTGCTTGAAATCTGGCACTTTGCTCAAAGATTTTTGCATAGAGACACAACTGAGTACAATACAACATTTAAGGACCACTTTAAGACAGACAAAAAGTAGAGGTACCAGTGTTTAGAGAGCCATCTTCCACTTTTAAATAGCGCTCTGTTAGAAAAGTGAACAAGGGCACACAAATGGGAGGGGGGGAGGGCAGGGGGGCATTAATCCAGCAAAAAAGACTGGGACTCTGTTTAGGGATACACAGAAATGAATCCAGAGGACAGACTGGTACCAGCATAGATGACAAAGTGGGGTAGCCCAGCAACAATCATGGACTGCACCCATCAATAACTGGAGCAGAAAGAACAAACAGCATTTGTTTACAGAAAATCAGAATTAAGAATATTCTCAGTGAAGATATATGTGGACACTTTGTGTTTGATGCATACAATTTCATAAATTAATTTTGACCAGCAGTTTGATGTTTTAATCTTCCTCTTCTTAGCAGTTTAATTTTCCAAATACAGAGAATGCCTTCACTTGCAGGAAGCCTGTTTGTAGCCCCAGCAAGCAGCTTGCAGTAAATGGAGGGCCCGGGGTCAGAAACGGAAATTTAGCATTCATATTGGCGCTGTTTAATAGTTGTGCTGATGTCAGCCCCACAGCCTCCCACTTTCAAGCTTGAGGCTAAGGCACAGCTCCCCACACTCACATGCTCACCTCTCCCTAGCTGACAGAAACCTTTCAGTGACTACAAAAGGGATCAGTTTGAGCCATCTGGCTGTCAAGACCTTAGCGTACCACTCAGGGTATATTTTCTGCTCCTGTGATTCCTGTAACTGCCACAGCTCCTACTTCATCTCAGTAACATGAAAAGTACTTGACTGTGGTTCAAACTAAATATTTATATTCAAAATTCTATTTTTAACTGTGAAAGCTACTAGTGGCTGCAAAGGCAACAGACCTACTTTAAGGCAGTGAGCCGTTCTGTTACATATGTTATGTTTCCTTCTGCCTCCCTTCCTCTCAATTGGAATCATTTTAAATTGTAATTTCCTTGAGACAAAGACCTGTCTTTCTCTGTAAAATGTAAGTATTATGTGGACTCTGTGCCAGGATCAATAAATCTTACCTTATCGGGAGAGTAAGAAAATAAGGAAGGTTTCTTTAAAAATATTAATATAACATTTTCAGGTCCCGAAAAGATTTTGCTGCACAAAGTGTAAGGCTCAAGTCAAAAAAGTGTAATCACAGAACACTCTTTAAGGAAAAAAACTAGCAGAAGTCAATACAGCTTGTCAGGTTCAAAAGATTTATTAAGTAGTTTTTGTAAATAGAATCAACATCAGACACAGAATGTTTAAGAGGTTAATGAACTCTAAAAAGAATAATGTAGTTTGAGACATCAATAGAGCTTTTGAAAGACAGAGGAGAAATCTCCTACCCTTGCGTAGTGAAGGAAAGCTAGAAGAAAGCTTCAACTATTCTCAGCTCCCACTCCACTCTTTTGTATCTCCAGTGGCAGGTCTAAATAGAAAAACAGGCCTGAAAGCAAGAATGGTATGAAGAGCCTCAGCAGAAAAGCAAAGTGAGGAGATGGCTTCTTTGAAAGCTGGATTGTTTTAAAGGAAAAAGTCACAAAACAACAAAAATTAGAAGCTTCCTAAAGCCACTAAAAACAACTACAGCCCCTTACTCAAAGGTTAACCAGTTGCTGAAATATAGCTCAAGAGCTGACAAATATATCAGACAACTGTCTAAAATCTAAAATGATAAAACCCCCTCTTCACAGAGAAATCCAATGCACTGCTCATGCAGCAGGATTATTAGAAGTGAAGAGTATTTGATCAGGTAAAAATCTCTCATGTACAGAAGAAAACCACATTTAATGCTGTAATTAGTATTCTTCCCTTAGCACGTCCTGTTTTGCACATTTTCAAAGCACTGTCTGGCCTTCCAGCTGTAATCTCCAACAGCCCCACGATGAACACTCTCACTATTTTAGAAATGAGTATTTCACTACACATACTTCTCTACCACTGGCTGCATCTCCTTCCATTTCTACCTAGTTTGCAGTTTTTCCTATTTAAAAATAAATAAATAAATTTGTAGAGGACTGCAGCACCCGAAGTCTTGTTTCCTATCTGTCTTGAATTGTAACCATTCAGTGGCAAGGCAAGCAGGTTTGATGTCCTCTGACACAGGCTACATACCAGGTTACAGTCTGGATACCTAATAATAACGAAGAAAAATTAACAGCCTCATTAAATGCACTGAGAAAACATTCCACCGTCTGCAGCCTAGAAGTTGCTAACAGATACATCAATTTGTATCAAAAGCTACAAGAATTGTTTCACAATATGCAGCCCCTATATTTATGTCTTTAAGTTACTACATTTTAATGCCTATAACCTCAAGAGATCCAATGACAGTATTAAAAACATAACTGCTGTTATACACAGAGAAAAGCCAGATGTACAAAATACTTTGGAGTAAACTAGAAGACTGTCTCTTCCTGCCTTGGAATTGAATTAACACAATAGCCTCACTTTCTCTTTTTAAAAAGAAGACGTTTTTCAAAAAGACTTTCATTAATCGACCCTGAGAACAACTACTAAGAAAGTCTTATTCTCTTCCTCTTTCTTCTTCTGCCATTTATTTCTACCCATTTCCTTTTGCTGTGTCAAGCAATCATGTGGTAAACCAGATCAGCAAGTTCATTGTAATATAAGAATAACCTAGCAAGAAAGTGTTCTGTAGTGTCGGAACACCAATCCAGCTTGCCCCGTCACTAAACAGAATGGAAAAGGGACATGGTGCAGGTACAGAGAACCTCACCTTTTGATGGCAGCCTGCATTTTATCAGATCAATCGTACCACAAAACTGCATCGCAGTGAACTCGTGAAGAATGCCCAACATTAGACACAAAACACCGGAGTTGGCCTTGTAGCTCTGGGAGGTTAAATAGTTTGATTCCTTAAATTCCTTAAGAATCTTAACTTTAACCCATCTTTCTGCAAATCGACACCGAGTTACCCACTCTAGATTTTTTTTTCTTTGTACATATTTGGCTGTTAAAATAACACCACACCCTTTCAGAAGCCCACAGATTTCCTCATACAGGTTTTCAATAGCAGACCACAAGGGCCATACTTCTAGTACTGCCTTATTTTCCCCGTGGGCAAGGTCAGTTTTGAAAGATGCTTAGCAGATTAAAGAGCAGAGGAAATTCCCCCAAGGGTGGAACTCCGCATTCAGGGAGCGTTCACAGATTTTGCTTCTGCAGGTAGGTAGGTAGATGGGTTAAGTGTCCTAAACCGGTGTTGCACTTCCTCTAAACGAATTCAAAAGTTACAAGTTGTTCAAGTGTTTGCTTGGGCTCGAGGTATTTTTGGAAAGCGTTAAGAAGAAAGCTAAACCTAATGGCTTAAATTTTGACAGAGGAGCGTGTACGCTGACGCGCAGGAAGACATCTTTACCCTAAGTTTTAAAACTACGCCACTCCTAATCATTCTTTTCAGCACGTTTTTAGAAGGAAAAAAAAAAAAAAAAAGTGCTTTTATGTGTTTTTTTTTTTTGTCAGGCCGTGGAAGCGAACTCTCCGCGGCAGGGGCTCGGGGCAAGAGCTCCGCCTCAGGGCGCTGGCAGGGGATAGGGGCGGGCGGCGGGGGCTGCTCCCGAGCCTCGGCCGCGGGGCTCGCCCCGCACCGCCTCCCTGACGGCTTCCCGGCCAGCGGGGGCCTGACGGGGCCTTCTGGAAGCTTCCCCGGCGCCCAGCCGAGGAAGAGGAAGGCAGCGGGAGGGCGGCTCGGCCCCGCGCCCCCCTCCGCGGGGCTCCGTCAGCCGGCACCCGGCTGCTCCGCGGGCCGCCGGGACCCTCCCTCGCGCCTTACCTGGCTTGGCCGGCTTGGGCGGCGGCGGCTTGGACATGGCTGCGGGCGGCGGGGCGAGCCCTCTGCGGGCTCCCGGCGGCGGCGGCGGCGGAGGAGGAGGAAGGCGAGGACGGGGAGCGGGAGGAGGAAGGAGGGAGGGGGGGGGGGGGGAGGGCGGCGGCGATGGGCGTGTGCAGCGCCCGTGCCGTGCGCAGCGCCCCCTAGCGGCGGCCGCGGGGTGCCGTGCGCAGCCACCCCCTGCGCGCCGAGGCCCCGCCCCTCCGGGCTCGCCCCCGTCGCCCCAGCGGCGGTTGGCGGCGGTTGGAGCGGGGCGAGTCGCGGCGGCAGGCGTGAGGTGCGCGGTGCCCCGTGTCCGCTGCGTGACGGGGGCTCGGTGCCCTGTGGAAGCGCCGCGGGCGGGGCGGTTGGCGCTGGCCGCTCTGCCGCTGTCTGTAGGCGGCGGTTCGCGGGCGGTGCTGCGCCCGGGCAGCGGCGGGGGGTGAGCTGCGTGAGCCCTCCGGGCGGGTTCGGTGCCCGGTCTGTGGTGACCGAGGGGAAGCGTGGTGTGGCCGCTGGTGCTGCAGCTCTCTCACCCCGTGCCGTTAGAAACAGGGCGAGGGCAACGGCTTGGGGGAGCCGGAGTGAGTCTGTGTTCTGTTTAAAGGTGCTGAGCCGAGGTGGGTATGCTAACGTAGGGGTTCCGTGTTACAACACTGGAGACAAACGTGCCTTCCTACTTGGGGCTACACGTTATTCTGGGGGAGGAAGGGTTGATAGGTTTTATCATGGTGGTGGTTCTTTCTCATGAGGTGGGATTAACTTTTGTGTAGACAGTGACGTAAATTTGGGTCCAAAGCTCGGCACCTGTGTCCAGATGTTAGTTTGTAACAGCTTTTTTTTTGTGGGTCAAAGGCTAACCCTCAACAGCATGAATCTTACTGATTTTCTTTAATAGCATTGTGTTTTCATGGATCAAGTTTTATCATATCCTGAGAATGGGTAATCTGCTTACACTCTCTAAATGGATAGTCAATACCATGAACATATCATTGACCTAGAGAATTATTAGATTCTTAGAAAACCCTTGCATGATGACTTGTAAAGTTTACCCAGTATGCAGCATGATTGCAGAACTGTGTCTTGTCATACCGGCAATGACTCTTGGACTAGTCAGTACATCCTCATTTTTTTTCCTAACAGAGAAAACACTTAAGGCAACCATGCAAAGATTGCAGTGCAGATCTGTGAAACAAATGCAAAAGGCTAAACTCTCAGATTGGGGCATTTGTGTGTGGTTAAGCACTTACTGATTTGTGTGTGCTCTTGGAAAATTATGTTTGACAAATGCTTGACAAAGTCCATAGACTAGTGATACTGTCAAGAGAAAAACCTGTTCTGGAAGAAAGTTCTGGGTTAACAGTTAGTGAAAGACAGGATTGTGTGTTTTGGCGGCTCTGACATAGGAAGGTGTTCAGTCAGCCCTTGCTACCTATCCTTCTGCAACACTACAGCACCTAATTGGATGGTAAACTAGAAGGAGTTCATTCAGCTGAAAACTAACATTCATCCCTTCCCTCCCATTCTGCAGAACTGTTTTTCAGATGGAGTAGTTTTCTGCTGCAGTGCACCTTGGGCTCTGCAAACACCTGTTCCAGAAGAAAGTTTTGGGAAAAAGTTAGGGAAAGAGAATTGCATCTTTTGGCAGTTAACAGCTGACAGCCAGAGTCGTAGGATAGGTTTCTTGGCAGCAATAGGGACGTAGGTGGACAAATGCAACCTGTTTTGTAGTTTCAGTCTTTGATCTTGAATCCAGACTGTTCTGTGGTGGAGAGGATGCGGAACACTTATGTGATCAGAGCTGTTAACTATAACGAGGGAGTGGTGAGTTCTTATACACTGCCAAGACCAAGATTTGTAAGAGTCTTTGGACATGTTCTGTTATAACTCTTAAAGAATTTTTGAAACATCTTTCTTTCCTCAGCACATGTCACCAGGTTGCTTTCTAAGTTTTTTGTTTGTTTGTTTTGCCACTGCAGCATCTATTTATGTAGTCCTTTGGATAGAGTTGATGTTTGAGCTAGTGATTGTGCTTTTCTTCAAGGTACTTCTATGGTAATCAATATTGGTATAAATTAGTCTCTCAAAGTTCATCTCAAATTATTAAAATACTGTCAAAGGTAAAATGCATTGAAGTCTGTTATATCTATAAATTAAGAGTTTTAACTGAGTTGCTATTTTTGACAGTGGAAAGGAAGAACTGAGGAGAAAAGCTATGAAAGTACTGGTTATTGGCCTTGGAGGGTAAGTATTAGCAAATTAAATTTCCTGTACTGCTCAAGACTAGTCTTCCTTGCAGAATGAATAGCGGGATAATTTCTATTTCTGGATAGATAACTTGTGAAAACAGATTACAAATATATCATACTATTGTATTTTTTATTGTGTGTAACTCTTAAGAAATTGTTCCTGTCTCTGTTGAAGATCTCAGGTATCATCTCTCTCTAATTTCTTCTGATTTCTTTGTTATCTTTGCTGGATTTACTGCCTGGAAGCTGTTAGAACCTTATACAAAATTTCAAGAGAATATTTAATGTGAATAAACTTTATGGGAGTGGGGGAAGTGTCTTTGTGGTTTACTCCGTTTACATGTGTATGTGTGTATAGGTGTGTATATGTGTAAAAGACAGATTATATCTTGATGCAGTTTCTACTGTGTTTTCTAAATCAGAGTAACAAATGGAGGAAAAACAACACTGGCAGAAAAGCTTAAGAAAATGCTTCCCAACTGTGATATAATCTCTCAAGATGACTTCTTTAAGGTAACAGTATTAGTGAAAAGACCTATTAGATAAAACTGGGCTTGGGTAGATTTTGCTATTTACTATCATTTGTACTATTCCCAGTTTAGCTATTGATGGATTGTTAAAACTGACGCTGCTTAAAATAACTCTGCAAGAAAGAGAAATAAAACCAGCACTTGGGTAACTGACCTTTCAGTGGCCAAAACCACTGAGTATATTTGGGAAAAAGAATTTGACTGTATTTTTGATACTCTTTCAAAGTAAGGAATGGGTGTACCTTGGATACATTTTTTGCAGATACTTTATACTAATGAAATTTGTAATATTGTTGTGTTTACCATACATCCATGTGGTAATATGTAATTCATCATTTCCCAAATCAAAAAAGAAAAATTTTTTTATTAATATCAGAGTTCTTAAAGAGGTTGAATAGGTTCTGATTTCTGAAGGGTAAAGTTCTAGTGAACTTAAGAGCTATGATTTGGAGACTCTTTCTAGATCAAATAAAGCGTTTGTATGACATCAAAATTGTTGTATACGGCAGTTTAATTTTGAACACAAATTTTATCAGTTAGGATACAAAGCACCGTTGAAAGTGCTGATTTTTTTTCTTTTCAGCCAGAGTCTGAAGTAGAAACAGATGAGCGCGGATTTAAGCTGTATGATGGTTAGTAACTTTGAAGCATTGTTTCTAAAGATTTTACTGAAACTCCACTGTGCTGAGCTTCAAGACTTTGTTCCCCTCCATCCTCTGACACCGTCCCTTCAGAGAAAGGCTGTAAACAAATGTTTCAGAGTGATCCTTACCTCAGTTTCTCTCAGCTCACTGAAATAAAAATAGAAAACTTGATGAATTAGCAAATTGCTGAAGCTAGTGCTTTGTCTTACCCTTTCCTCTTTTTAATCTTTTCTCAAGTTGCACCTGGTGCAGTAGCAAATGCTTCAGTTCAGTTGAAAGTCTTACAGACTTACAGCACTGGCATAAGTTAAGCCTCATCACTTTCTGTGTAATGATGGATTTTTTTCACTTTGATCTCATTGGAAATCTTCACCATTGAGTTTCTTGCATTGTTATATTCTAAAGATGTTAAGCTTGGATCTGATCTCAAGTCAGATCTTACATGGAGACCAAATGTTTCCAACTTCATAGTTGGCTCAATATGCCAGTTCAGCTGTGTGAACTTCTAGATCCAGATCTACTTTATGCCAGTAATTTGGTTCAGGTCATACCTACTTACAAACAGTTGATTATTAGCTACTCTATTTTGATATTCGATGATCACAAAATATATTGTTCTAAACATTGGCCAGAAACTTAACTTATGTCTGAAAACTGACTTTCATCAGTTAGTGCAGTCTTTGACCCATCTTCTAGACTAAATGGAACCGGTATGTGAAACTGGAGGGATAAGTTGGACAGTCTGGTTCATGTATCTGGACTTAATGCTGCGCTTAAATATTCCTTTAAAATGTATTTGCTCCTACCTTATGCAAAGTCTGCCTTCTGTTTAGTACTTACCTGGTATGTTCTTTCATCTCTACACAAAAACAGGTGCTACACTATGCTGTTTTGCTTTGTATGCCATCCTCCTTTCAAACCAATCCATCCCTCACAACCATACAAATACTTGAAACCCAATGAAAACTCAAAGCAAAAAGAAAAAAAGAGCCCCCGCCCTTGGCCTATCTCAGTGACAATTGACTGAAAGGTGGAGGTATTAGTTTTTTTACAAGTTCTGTAGAATAAGAGAGCAGTCGCTGGAATTTATTCCATGGAGAAAAAGGCTGTGAGGGAACTCACACAGTTTTTGGTGTCACGGGATTCAGAGGGACCACACCAACCAGACATACCCCAATCTTAGGAAAAGCTTCTGTTTTAGGGTACCATCTGTTGCCAACACAGAACTGCCTACATGTGTGAGAGAGACTTCTGAGGAGTAATACTGCTCCCTATCATTTAGACTTATATGTAGATTGTTTGTTTTTTACTGAGTTAGGTTAATCAGTAAACAAATTCTTTGTTTTTAAGAGGTGCCTAACTTTTTCTTTTCGTCTAGTACTTGATGCTCTCTATATGGATGAAATGGTGAAAAGTATTCACAATTGGATGAACAGCCATACATGCTCAGCTGTTGTGACTGAAGAACCACAGAATACGCGTGAAAGTGTTAAAAATACAGAAGATGTTTATATTTTGATTGTCGAAGGCTTTCTGCTGTATAATTATGAGTAAGCAGTAGTATGTAAACTGTTATGTTAAGAACTGCCCTAAAAAGGAAGGGAGAACTAAATATATTTTTTTTCTTAGGCCACTTAATGAACTCTGGAATAGAAGATACTTTCTGACGCTTCCTTATGAAGAGTGCAAAAGGAGAAGGAGGTAAGATTATTCAATTATTGTTCACAAAGGGTTGCTGTATCATCTAACCTGGAGTGGTTTGTTTTTACCAGCTTGTGCTTGCCAGATGTAAGCTTAACAGTTTGCAGATCACAGAGAACAGGTTATCTGTTTTCTCTGGTTCCTGAGCAAGATGCTGTGGGTATTTAAAAAATATTAACAAACGTGGTGGTTTTTTTTGTTTGTTTTTGTTTTTTCATTTTAAAGCACTGAGATCACTGAGATATTAAAATGTTCAGTGTCTTACAAATTCCAAAATGGAATTTGGTGTCCAGATAAATTATTTAGATTACTGACTGTATATCGGAGATAAAATTCCTCTTGAAAAGAGAAAAAAATAAAAAACATAAAGTAGTCTTATCCTTGGGTGAAAATATCTATGTGATTAATGTTAAAGTAACAATATTTATGCATGGTTTTATTGTATAATTCATTTGAAAGTATATACTATATTAGTTACACTGTGTATTTGATTTAGGTTATTAAGCCAGTGTCTGACTTGGCTCCAGATTTGTAGTGCTACTGTGTGCTTGGAGCAATACATGTGCATGAAGTCAAAAACTGCTCTGAGTAAAGCAGTCCTCCATTCAGCTGACTTTAGCTGACTCCACTTTAGGTTCTTTTCGATGCAGCTTAATTCATATATAATCTCTTCAATTAAAACTCCTTTTATGTTGTGTTAAATATAATTTGACTGGCAGAAATAGGTAAGTTAGCAAGAGTTCATATCACAGTTAATATTATTACAACAAAAACCCCTCTTTTGCTCCAGCAGTTATGCAACCTCCTTGCATATATGTATTTTGGATACATGCTCTTATTAAAGCTAACATTGGGTGTTGTGTGGGAAATGCAAAACTTGCATGGGAATGCAGATATATTTCTGTGTAGCACCAGAGTCTATCAGCCAGCAGATACACCGGGGTACTTCGATGGACACGTGTGGCCTATGTATCTGAAATACAAAAATGAATTGGAAGAAAACACAAGCAATGTTGGTATGGTGTCCTTAATTTTAAACTTATAAAACGATAAAGTGTGGTTCTTGTCTGTTATGTTTGTTTGTTTTGTTTGCTTATGTGTTTTTAAAAGGGGCAACATTTTCTTCAAATATTAGTGTGCCACTTGCACAGTAGGTTTTGCCCCTTGTGTTGGTTTATGTTTTAAGTCTTTATAGTTTTGTTTTATTATTTTTAATTATTTTTAAATAGTGAAAATTATAAGGTTAAAAAGTAGAAATGTTTTGATCATCAGTTATGACCATTTAATAAGCTAGTTTGCATGTTCACGTGTGCATAAATGTCTTTGGCTAAACAGGAAACTTCTGAGACATTAGCTGATGCCCTGGCTGAATTCTTCAAAATTAAAATCCTGGCTGAAGTCCCATTAAAAGCTATAGGATAGTTCACAGATGCTTTTTGTACATACTACAGTCACTTGTCTTGCATGGGGAATGTCAAAGCCTACTTTGCTGCTATGGTGGTGCTGTCAGTTTGTGTGACATTGACACTTTTACTGCTCTTGGGAGCGCTTGCTTCTGGAGTGGGTCTCAGGAAAGAAACATCAGGTGGCCTTTCATGAGCATGCAGACTAGGGCACTGCTGTTTACTGTGCAGTGAGGGGGAGAACTACAATGCTCTTCCTTGACTTCCTCAAGTCCTGAAGTTGAGGAAGAGCCTGAGATCTTGCCTTGCATAGGAAGCTTTCTGCTGAATTATTTGATTGCTCTACTGTCCTAATGTTATTACTGCCACTCTTTTGGAGATTTTTTTACCATAAATATTTGTAATCTAATTCCTAACTGTAATACCTTTCCATTACGTTATTTTTTAACATTCATATTCAATTTGGGAAAGAAACAAAGGGAGGAGTGGCTCTTGCTTTCTATTTTTTTCATCTCTTCTGATTGCATTCATAGGAATACTGAAAATGTTACCAACTACTACTCTAGATAACTGGCACAGAACTCATGAAAACTTTTTATTTTTTCTTAGTTTATTTGGATGGTACTAAACCCCAAGAAGAGCTTTTATCCTGTGTATATAGTGATATAATACAGGAATTAAAGAAGCTGAGGGAAGGAAGTAAGTTATTTTATTGGAAATTGGATGTGCTTATAGAATTCAAAGTTAACAAGAAGCTTATTACTTTGTATGGAAACACTGCAAGGATTGTACAGATCTATATCTGACTATATTTTCATAATGCAAGGCGCTGCATCTGGGTTGGGGCAATCCTGGACATGAGTACAGACTGGGGGTAGAGCAGTCCTGCAGAGAAGGACTTGGGGGTCTTGTGGGCAAAAATCTCAACATGAGATAGCACTGTGCACTTGCAGCCCAGAAAGCCAGCCAGATTCTGGGCTGCATCAAAAGTGGACAGAAGGTCAAGGGAGGTGAATGTCCCCCTCTGCTCTGCCCTTGTGAGGCCCCACCTGGAGTGCTGCATCCAGTTCTGGGGCTTCCAGCACAAGAAGGATGTGGAGTAGTTAGTGCGGGTCCAGAGGAGGGCCATGAAGTTGATCAGAGGGGTGGAGTACCTCACCTATGAAGAAAGGCTGAGAGAGCGGGAGATGTTCAGCCCACAGAAGAGAAGGCTCCAGGGAGACCTCCTTGAGGCTTTTCAGTACTTAAATGGGGCTTATTAAAAAGATGGAGAGAGACTTTTACATGGGCAAGGTAGTGATGGGACAAGGGGGATTTGTTTTAAACTAAAAGAGAAGAAATTTAACTTAGATGTTAGGAGCAAATTATTCACTCAGAGGGTGGTGAGGCACTGGCACAGGTTGCCCAGAGAAGCTGTAGATACCCCATTCCTGGAGGTGTTCAAGGCCAGGCTGGATGGCGCTTTGGCCAACCTGATCTAGTGGGTGACATCCTTATCAACAGGAGGGTTAGAACTAGATGATCTTTAAGGTCCCTTCCAGCCCAAACCATTCTAGGATTATGTGATACATATACATATATTCCTGTCTTTATGCATACTTGCCTGTTACTCTGCATCATAATGAGGTATAGCTTTAAGCGCATTGTTGGGTTCTCTTGGGTGAACCCACTGCTATCTGCTGGTAAAATAATAATAATTAAAAAAAAAATAGAAAGTAAGGTGAGGAAAAACATCAATGAAAGCAGATGTTGTGGTAGTGGTAGGTTCGAATATACAGTGATGTCACATGCAAACAGAGAAATGACACCGCAAGTTAAACATGTACTTTATTTTTGTTTCATATCAGGTCTCATGGCATGATAATGTAGAAGGCCTGGATTCTGTTTGATACAGATCTAAAACCCCAGGAATGGTGCTTGGCAAGCCACCCAACTGAGCAGATGTCCACGTTTATGCCTGTAACAGTAGTTCATACAATGCAAATCGATTTGTAGCAAGTATTAGCTCTGTAAGCTTCAGATACTGAGTTAACTATCAACAGTGCATTATTCCTTAGGATTCCTTCCATCAGTTATGCCTTGGCAGATCTTTATATGTGATTGAAATTGCGTATTTTAAATAATATAAATACTTGTATACAGAACTAAACTATAAAGATGCAGTTCTGTTGGATTAGTAAGATCATCTGAAAATGGATGAATGCAATTTGAAATGTTCATATAGTACTTGGAAATGATGATTAAGTATTAATCACTGATAGACATGGTTAGAGGAACTAGCTGTAAGCTGTGGCAATGCTAACTTTAAAATTGTGTAAGCTGTTACTCTGCTCATTCAGTAACTGAATCTGTTACTGAATGCATTGTAACTGAACTTAGACTTGCTCAATACCCATGTGGTGTTTCTCAAGTAATTTCTATGTTACATGTTTGGACCAGTTGAGAATGTATTGTTTTAAAAAGAAAGATTGTTGGGAAAATGTGGGGGACTAACACCTCTGAATAGATATGCATCACTAACAAGTTAAATTACATCTATCATGGAAAGATCATGGATTAGAATGGTTTAAAGTACAAGATGATAAACCCATGCTTTGGGAAGGAAGAAGTAAGAAGTATTTCTTACTAATATTCAGAACTCAGGATGAAGTTATGTATGTAATTATATATTACATATACAATGAAAGTGTTCAGAAAGCAGGCATACGAAATGTATGTTAAAATTTTGTTACAGAATCTGTATATATATATTAAGATAAAGTAGGAGACTAGCAGTTTTAATTGTCTTCAGTTGCTGGATAAGTAACATATCAACCCATACTTTTTGTATATGATCTCTTAAATTTTATTTAATAAATGAAAATTAAAATTAATAAAAAGCCTTTTTTATTAAGAAAAAAATATGTTTAATTAAAAAGCCAGAATAAAAATCTAGCTGCAGATGAGAAAAGCAAAGGATGGACTGTATTACTTACGCTTCAAGTGAACTAATCATGGTGATTGAAAGGTATTGCTTTTATTCAGTCACAAAACTGTAAATAAGAAAAAGGCCTTAAACGGATCAGAGCAGTTAAATCTGTGTTTAAGAAGTACTTCTAAAGCTGCAGCCCGTGGAGAGGAGCCCCCGCAGGAGCAGGGGTCTGGGGGGAGCTGCCGCCCACCCGTGGGGGCCCCGTGCTGGAGCAGTTTGCTCCTGGGGGATGGATGGGCCCCGTGGCACGGAGCCGTGTGGGATCGGTGCTTGCAGAGCTCGGGGCGGCCCTGCCCAAACCCCCGCCCCCAGGGAACGGCGGGCCCCTCCCTGTCGTGCGGCACCGCCCGCCGCCAGCACCACGCCTGCGCCCTTCCCCTCCCCTCCCCTCCCCTCCCCTCCCCTCCCCTCCCCTCCCCTCCCCTGCCGTCGCGGCGCCGCGCCCGCTCTCGCGATAACTCCCCGTGGGCCGCCCCTCGCCGCGGGGCCGCCCCCCGCCGGAAGCGAGCGGCCGAGCGCGATCGTTGCGGGCGGGCGGCGGGGGGATGTCGGCCGCGTGCGCCGTGTCCTGCAAAGCGCAGCCGGCGCTGCCGCCGCCGCCGCCTCCCCCCCGGGGCGAGAGGGACCCGCCCGCCAAGGCCATGCGCAGGGGGCTGCGGCGGGGCCACGAGGAGGAGCGGGAGCAGCTGTCGTGGCCGGCGGAGGGCGCGGGCGGCGGGGGCGGCGAGCGGCAGGCCGGGCGGGCGGCCGAGCGCGGCGACGAGCGGCGGCGGCGGCAGCCCCACGAGCCCAGGGCGCTGGCGGCGGCGGCGGCGGCGGCCCGGGCCGAGGAGGAGGCGGAGGAGGAGCGCATGGAGCGGGAGCACTTCCGCAGGATCATCAACGCCTTCCGATACTACGGGTAACCGGCGCCCGCCTGCTGCGGGCGGACACCCACACACACCCCCCACACACCCCCACACACACAGCCACGGAGCCGCCCCGCGGGGCTCCGCCTTGCAGGGGGAGCCAGCTCCCAGGTATTCGTTACTTTGTACGGCAGACGAGCCCTCGTAGCAGGGTTAGCGGATGCCATTTTCTAATCAGCTTAGCTCCCTAAACGTCTGTGCAGTCAGAAGAAAGGGTTCATTGGGCCTTTAGGAATGAGACAAAAGTAGGAAATAACCAGCTTCAGTGAAGGGGTAGCAACCCATCCCAGGGACAGAGAAAAGGGGTGGGACTGGCTGGAAAAGTCCACTCGTTTTCGTGTTTTCATAAACCCTCCTGTTACTCTAGGCTTTGGAAGTAGATATAGGATATAGCTGTGCACTCCTGTTGACAGACCCTGCCACCCGAGCCATTGTTATGCCCTGCACTGCTTTTTGTCAATGTCAATGACAAACATATCCAGAACTTTTAAGTGACAGTGAGGTTCTTGGGCTGAGTAAGTGACATTTTAAGTATTTTTTCCTTCTTATTGTTTCTCTATCATGGATTTTTTTTGTTTTCCAGGATTTATGTTTGAGCAGGAGGTTGGACTGGATGGCACCTTGGATGTTTCCTCCGTACAGAATTCGCTAATAACAGGCAGCTGTCATTTACTGATGTCAGTGATGTAACTGTATCTTCTGGCCTCAGAAAGCAGGAACATCCCTGTCAACCTCATGCTCAAGTTATGATTCTGGGTTGCCTTTGAATCCTTCAGATTCAGTAGGAAACTGTAATGAAAGGATATGACAAATTCCATTATAGGAATTGGATTAAATTCTGCCTCAGATAAATAACTCTGACTTTAAGTGGAATTTTGTGTATTGGTAGTTAAAAATTATGTGGAAACACCTGTGTGAACAAGGCAACAACACGTTTTCAATTCAGTCTAGATTAAGGTCTGCAGACATATGGGCCTAAATTCATCCTTTATAGTTCTTCTGATTTCAGTGAATTATTCATTCTGCTAACAGGTGTCAACTCATCATCCATCCTTTTAGTGATGATTCAAAGGATGTTACTGACAAAACATCCAACAGATGTTGATAATGGGACATTGTGTTTTTTATAGAGGATCAGTTTATTTTTCCTACTGATATTTTCTACCTTATTTTTAAATGTCACTTAAACCCTGTGTATGTATTAAAATGAACATTTTCAGTAGTGTGAATGTAATGTTGGAAATATTAACTGGTCAAATCTCCAGTCTGAGGTTGCAACTAAAACCACAGTAGCTACACCTGTTGTGAGCAGCTGAGCCCCACACAGTGGCTTGCTCACAGTGCAATAGGGTGGAGAGAGGAAGGGGTAAAAGAGAGAAAACTCATGGGTTGAGACACAGACAGCAGGTAAAGCAAAAGCTGTGTAACCATGCAAAGCAAAAAAAAAAAAAAAAAAAAGCAAAAACAAACAATGCATTCATGACTTCCCATGACCAGAGAGATGTTTACCCATTTCCAGGAAAGCAGAGCTTCATTATGTGTAATAGCTAGTGGGGAAGGCAGGTGCTGTAAAAGTGAATTCCTCCTTTTTTTACCCAACTTTAATTGCTGACCATAACATTGCATGGTAGGGGATATCCCTTTGGCCAGCTGTCCTGGCTGTGTCCCCTCCAAGCTTCTTGTGTACCTCTAGCCTCCTCGCTGGTGGGGCAGCATGAGAGAAAGCCTTGATACAATAAAGTAACAGCTAAAACATCTGTGTGTTGTCAACAGTGTTTTGGTGACAAAGCCAAAATACAGCACTATGTGAGTTGCTGTAGGGAAAATTAACTCTAACCGAGTCAAAAGCAATGCAGTACCTTGCCGTCTCTGATCTCTAGTTCTCAACTCTACAGCAGTATGATGACCCAAAAGGTTGAGAAACTGCAGGGTGGCTTAACTCAATAAAATGATTTGCTCCTGCCAAAAGGGGCAATCTCCCTTGACTTGGCATCACATCCGCTCCCTCCCAGAGTTGCTATGACTCTGCTTAGCCAGCTTGATTTACTAAACTGACAGAAATCAAATAGCGTTATCCTATACAGCTCTCTTCACAGTTAGCAAGTCAAACTAGCTTTATGGCAGGCCTGGTGAGTGCCAGAACTGTCACATGGTGTTAAACTGTTGCTGAGGAGAAGGAAGAAAAAAGGAAAGGGAAGAAAAAATACAAAAAAAAATAATAAATCCCCTTTCTCTTGGCAGCAACTTAACCTTTTTTTTTTTTTTCTTTGTGAAAATGTTACTTTGGGAAAAGGAAGAGTTATGTTTAGCTCAGATTAGTTACATCAAATTCACAGTACTCATACTTGTGGGAATATGTTGTTACGGTAGTTTAGTATCTTAGTTGGCATACCAGAACTTCATCGGTGTCTAGTCTTCACTTTTATGGCTCCTTTAGAAGCAATTGACTTTGAGGATACCTATTCCTGATCCATAACCAGCTCTTTTTATTCCAAAGGTTACCACATAATTCAGCTGCTTCATTCAATTTAAATTGGGTTTGGCTATTTTTGTGACTGTTTTTGGTTGTTCATTAAATTTTGTTGATTCATGTATTAAGGTAGTGATCACCTGTGCTAGCAAGGGTGATGGGATGGTAAGAGTAAAATAATGGTCACCGTAAACTGAAAGATGTTAAAATGATGATGTTGTAGAACTAGTGCTTAAAACAAAAATTATGCCTAAAAACTTCCTGAAAACTTGTTCTCTAGTAAGCAGTACATTGTCTGAACATTTTCTAAGTTTAAATAAATTAATAACTCTAACCAGTGTAGTTTAGAATGAATTACTTGCTCTTGGTGCATTTATTTCTGCTGATATCTAAAGACCTTAAACTTTTTGCTTTTTAGAACGAATATGCATGAACGAGTCAACAGAACAGAAAGGCAGTTTAAGTCTCTCCCAGCTAACCAACAGAGTCTTCTTCCTCAATTCCTTCCTCACCTTGACAAGATTCGGAAGTGCATCGATCATAATCAAGAAATACTACATACCATTGTGAATGACTGCGTTCATATGTTTGAAAATAAAGAATATGGAGAAGACGTATGTTAAAATGGACTTTTTCATACTACAAAATTAAACTCTGTACGCCTTGGGATTTTCTATGTTTGTTTTTCATGCCTTTAGATCTCCAGCTTTCTTACCTTTTGCCCTCTTTGCTTTCTCCTCTATTAATTCCTGACTGCTTACATTTTCTTACTCTCATAAACATCTTGTAGAGCTGATGTTAAGAAAACAATGTTGTTAGTATTTGTAGTTCCTCTTACAAAAACTAATTGTGAATCTGGCAAATGACAGTAATCACTGATTACTTTTTTTAAGAAAAACAAAACCAAACCTTTTTTTTTTGCTCCAGGGTTCTAGCTCTACCCTAGTTACATTTTAAAGTTAATATTTCAGTTAACTATGTACAGCATAAATAGCATACTCGGTTCTTCTGTAGGTTCTTTTATGTTACAGTATCCTAGATCAGTTACAGTCTTAGTTAGGCTGAATATTCTGAATGTTATCACCTATAAAACTTTCACTATTTATCTGCTTTTTCAGTGTGGCATCTCTATCAAAAAAAAAAATTGCATTCAGGGTTAAAAGAGTGGCAGAGATGGAAACTGAAGTCCTTTTTGATATCTACAGGCAAGGTACAGTAATGGGCAGCTCTAATGTGAGCTTCTCAGTGCTGCCTCATTAGTACCTAAAGAGATCATCATCTCAGGGTAAGCAGTTCAGCCTCTGCACTAGCTAAGCCCTGGTCCTTCCTTGAATAAGGACTACGATCTGTGCTCTGCTATTTAGTGCTTTTGTGATGTGAAAGAACCTGCTCTCTTGGGTGTCTGACTCAGACCACCAAACTCAATTTATTTAGCATTCTAGTCTGGATGTAAGCACTGGTCTCAGAAGTGAAAGACTAGTGCTTTGTCAGCTAAAGCTCTCAACAGCCATTACAGCATGACAT